CTTTAGGCATTCCTCCTTGTGCCAGTTTTGTTCAATGTCTTCATGAAAAACCTGGAAGATGGCGTAGAGTGCATCCTCAGCAAGTCTGCAGATGACACCAAGCTGGGGGGAGTCGTAGATATGCTGGAGGGGAGGGCTAGGATTCAGAGTGACCTAGACAAATTGGAGGATTGAGCCAAAAGAAAATTCACAAGGTTCAACAAGGACAAGTGCAAAGCCCTGCACTTGTTCTTGTTGAACCTCATCAAGGACAACTGCAGGGCTTGTGCAGCCCTGTCTCATGGAAGACAATCATCCTTGATTACAATTGATTCTCGAAGAACATGCAACAACATGCCTAGCACATGTTTCATCTAGAGCTTATTGAGCATTCCCATGCTGTATTAAAAGTTAGAATTTATGATGGTCTCCCAGCCATAAGGAGCTTCATGAGGAACTCCGGTGAGCCCTATTTTCTATTGCTGACCGCCAGTGAAGGGAGGCATGGGGAGCAAAGCCAATGAGAGGGTGTCATCCATGCTGCTGGATCCCACCAGTGGCAGATCAAGTGCAGTGTGAGGTCCAGGGCTGGGACCCAGTGTCAGTGAATTTTGGGACCTAGTCCTGGGACTGCAACTTGCTTGTATTATCTCCACGGAGCAGTTGGACAATAGCAGAACATGTGCTACTTAATACGGCTGGAGATTCTCCACCCACAAAGTTTCCTAACTTTGTTATAATATAAATACACTGAGCAGCTCTGTTACTGTTTGAACACATGGATGTGTTAAGTGCAGTTAACAGATTCAAAGAGTCAGGTTTTACCTTGGATTCTCAGGTAAGTGGTTACAGATCCCCACCCAAGGTGAAGGGCAAGAGAAAGGCCAATTCTCTTGCTGCCCAAGCCAAACCTGCCATCAAATATGAGCATTCTGGGTCTTATCCCAACCCCTTCTCTAATGAATATTGTTATATTAACTGAGTTGTAATGCAGGTGTGTTGTATTGTGAGTGTTCCCTTGTGCTGCTACTTTTGTTACCTATCCAGCACTATAGACATAGCAGCACTTCTCTAGGCCCATGGAGCTTATTTCTGCTTGCAGAAATGCCCAGGTGATCAGTCTCCCTTCACAACAGTTGTAACACAATCATCACCCCACCACAGTGCCTGAGCACACTTGTATCTTTGTCTGTCCAGTTCCCCTGCTGTTATCTTCAGTCTCTAAATGTGCTTGTGCACGTGACAAAATTTGCCCTTTCTTGAATTTCAAAGGCATTACAGTTTGCATACGTGGGTTTTCCTGACATTTTAAAAGTCTTCCTGGTGTTTTAAAGTAAAACTCATCCCAATGTAGTTTAGTTTGGGTCACCACAAATTAAACCGTTGCATCCATGGATTTATCACCTGCAAACAGAAGTGTGGCAGGGGTGTAGGTTGTAGCCGTGGTGGTCTAAGGACATAGGCAGACAAGGTTCCTTGGATGAATCTGGTATCTTTTATTAGATCAAATTAAGTTGGTCTAATAAAAGATACCAGATTCACCCAAAGAACCTTGCCTGCAAATGGAAATGCACTCAAAGACACATAATGAGCCTCTTTGTCCACCAGACGGTGCTGCAACTCTTGTGTAGTTCACTCCTTCGCCCACCACATCTTGCTTCCATTTGCAGAGAGGAGAAAGGAGCTACCTGCAACATGCCAGTATTTCTGTATAACGTTTATTTCCAGGCACCAGGTGTAGCAGTTCAGTCCGACATAAATCGATCTTCTCACCCACCTGCGCAGACCCCTGTGTCTCACCCCTTATGCCCCCCAACCCAACCCTATAATCATATATACATGGACAGAGCCTTTTGCTCACATAAATTCTCTGTCCAGACATGCACACAGACACACATTCATACAGAGAGATACACACATGTAGCAGAAAGCCCCCTTTTCCTCTTGCCTGCATTTGCTCTCCCCTCTTTGGATATGTTTCTCTTTTACTACCTTTTCTTCCTTCCTCTCTCTTTCACTTCAAGATAAGGAATTGTGTTTTAAAATGTGTATGTGTGCATTTTGTATCTCCCCTTGTATTTTGGTATTTTTATCTATTTGTGTGCCATGGCATTTGTAGCTTATATTTTACACTCCTCACCTTTCATCTTTCAACTAAATGTATTTAGTTTTATAAGTAAGTTATACATTGTAACAATGTTAACAAGGGCAGGAATCAAACTGTCCTTCCCTGTATCAGGCTGGCCCCTGAAAGAGCGAGTGAACCAGTGATTGAATGCGTAACACAGTAGCAGACAGTAATTAACACCTAAGGAAACTCCAAATCAACCAACGGAAGAATTCAATAGAAGACAATGTAACAACCGGGCAATCTCTAACCATCACTGATCAAGGGCTAGAAGCCCTGGCCTGAGTTAATCAA